ATGTCAATATAAATATACTTACTAACCGACATGACTGTAGGGTGACACATAAAAATATGATTGCTGGCGCCACACGGAAAAGGTTCTTTATAAAAATTAGGTCAATTAATCACTGTGCAATGGAAGGAGTCTACTTCCAAAGCAAAAGACTTAGCATCTTCGTCGACACCTCACGACACAGAAATCAAAGTTAACAGCTTTTATATGAGCTTGATTATTAATGGATGCGCAGAAAAAGGCATTAAATTCCAAAGGAAATTTAATCAACCCGTTTATATATATATATAATGTTTGCCTTTTAGATTGCTTCTTTTCATATCTGTGATCCCTATAACTTGCGTATGCGATACTGCTTAAGTAAATGAATAATAAAAATTGATTTTAATTAAACAGTCTTTCTCCTGCCTTTAGGAATATAGAATGTAATCTATTACCAATATCATCTATTAGCATAATTACTATACAGATCTTTTTTACTTTGTCTACTTGGATATGTTTCCTTAGTTAAAAGAATCTTGTTGTCATGACTGTGCTTAGGTAATTCAGTCGGGGTGACAGAGAATCCTAGTAGAAGGCTCCTAGTTCTGCGTCCTCTGTATAGCAGACATGATGAGTTACAGTATCAGTATCCTAGACATTTTACTAAAATCATGATTAGCATCATAAGCAAGAATTCGTCAAAAATTTGATAGAAATGCATCCGGAAATGTACAAAATCAGCCCTCCGATGCGGAAAAACAATTAAACTATTTCACAGGATGCTATATGCATCTATTTTTAGACGTTTCCTTGACAACATGACTCACTGTTCAGAAGTACTGAAGCCATTATTGTCATATAGATAAAGACTTACGTATATAATAAATCTCTCTATAACTCTTCGATTATATTTGTTTGGATATATTTATTTATTCATTAAAGATGTTTTAAAAATATCTTAGGCATCTATTAAAATCAGATTCACTCGAATTAAGTTTTAATAATGTAAACTAAAATTTATTTTCATGTAGTACAAGAACCTTATCAGAAATTGCATTTTATTTAAAATTGCCTTCCATGAGGCTTTTTAAAATAAATTATAAATTCATTATTTTTCTAAGGCAAACTAAGTTTATAACAATTCCTATTAAAAAATATTTTAAAGATAGATCAAACCATCTAATTCTTTATTTAATATAAATTTACTAACACGTCGATGCCATTCTACGATAATTGCAGCAAAAATAATAACCTATTGTAAACAAGCGCAATTATTTTATCCCTAAAGACTAATAACCTCGATAAGTATGTAAAAATATTTTCATCTAACATAAAATTTTTTATTCGAAATGCAGGTCCAATAATGCATAGGCCTTTTTGCGAGTCTTATTTTGTGAGTATGGTGATAAGTAGGGATATATTACAATGATA